CGGAAGCAAAAGCAGTTTTGGGAAGACCATACTTGGCCTCAAATGGGTGAAAGAACTTCGCAAGAAATATGATAAGTAATCAATAGGTCTATTGTTTTAGTTACAAAAGGGTTTGATTCATATGTTCCTTGTGATGAATCTATTAAGCTTTGTTTCTCTCTTTTACCTATTCTTCTGATTATAATTGCTAAGTCTTAAAAGTTTAGAAAGTTTGTTGGTTGCGCACAATTGTGTTGAGCCATTGCTTTGGTTCTTGATCAAACGAGATTCTTACAACTACATGGACAATTCAAATTGCAGGAAATTCTTTTTCTTCTCTCTCTCTTGATGAAAAATTGATTAATAGCATAAAGAGTTGATTGCCATAAATTATCCCAAGATATGTCGTATAGTGCATTCTTCCAAGACTTTGTTCTTTCTTTCTCTTTATGTTCTTTCTAGACTTTTAACCTCTTCATTTTATTATCTGATTTTTCTCTGTATTCTTCGCTTTACTACAAAAACTATCTAATTCTTCAAAATTTCACATATAAAATTAAACCGTTGATTTCTGTTTAACTAACCAGTAATCGTGTTTTGTTGAATAGCGATTAGCTAGATCCGAGATTAAAATCAGTAACCCAACAAATGAAAACGCAACCTGAAACCAAACGGTTTTAAATTTCTTTGTTTGTATCTCAAAATAAACCCTACTAAATCGAAATTGATTTAGAGGGAAAATTTAAAATAAGGTAACAATACCTGGGCGCCAAAAAAGCGATATTCAAAAGAGAAGCCACAACTAAACCACCGCAATGAAAAGTGATTTGTGACTTTGAGGTTAACACTATTTTCGTAGACAATGTTTTTTGAAGATTGGAATCCACCGAATCTTATTGATCACAATATGTCAAGAATTGACAAGTTTTGTTGCGGAAGATGGACGTTGATAGAGATGAAGTTTGTGATTGATTCCACAATCACACACAAACAAGAAGGCTTGATTCCACAAGCAATCTGATCTGCAAATCAGTAGAAAACAAGTGATTCCACACTTAGATTCTAAAGCCAAGAACACGAACACAAAGACACAACTTTGTAGGAAAAAACACAATGTTTATTGATTCAATGATAAAAGGTGAGATTTACAATGAACTAAGAGATGAGCTATTATAAGCTCATAAGCAACGGTCTAATGGAGCTAATACAAGAAAAGAATAGCAAAATTAAAAGAATATGACCGTTGGAGTTTTGCTGACAAAATCAGGCCAAAAAAGAAAGTTTGAAAGCTCTTTGTATCTAGACAACTTGGGGAGGTATAGGTGCACTTTTGAAAGTCTCTGGATGTGTTGGAGGGTCTCCAACTCGTGGACAAACTCAAAAAAAAGGAGCCTTTGTGCGAAATCCTTTATTGTTCCTAGTGTGAATGCATCAAAATAAAAAAAATTGAGATGCAAGAGGATTTGCTTAATCCTCTGAGTGCTGGAGCATTGTAGGACTAGGGCCTTTGGGGGAGATTTTAGATCAACATAAAGGTCCTGGTCGCCACAAATACATTTGATTTTGACCAAACTTGTGAGACTCCAAATAAGATAAGCCGATAAGCCATTGGTTTAGAAATTTAATAACTTTCAAATCAAAACTGATCTTGGTATGATTACAATTCTCCCGAAATCTCTGATGAATCCAGATTCCAAAACAAGGTGGTTCACAGCTGAGTTCCAACTGGTTAGGTCGTAAATCTCTAATTAAGCCGCATATGTCCAAATCGGGTAAGTGCAGAAACACTCGATTTGCAAACTGAATATCTCCTTCGTCATAATTCCGATTGGGTTGATTCAAAGTGGTTGATTTTATGTGCTCCAAGAAAGGCATATATGTCCTTGTAGAGTCCTATGCAGTTTGTGTGACACGTTTGATGGAGCTCCAGTTCAGCTACTAGTACGATGACCTCATCAATACCGGAAATTATTAACATGGCTTTGCTGGACCGGAACCTATGGTTGGATGCAAATGCTTTAAATGTGAATATGAATGAAACTATCATGATAAATCAGGTGGATCGAAGGAATGCAGAGGACAAAGCACCAATCACAATGTATGAAGCGATTAATAAATCCAATGATTTATGTTGCTTTGTAGATGCGTCTTGGATCTCTGCAGAACATGAGGCGGGATTTGGATGGTTGCTTGTGAATCATGAAGGAAAACCAATCCTTAAGGGATCCTCCTCAGTCTAACCTACAAGAAATGCGCAAGAAGCAGAGGAACTTGCACTTAGGGAAGCTATATTGCAAATCGAACAATGGAATTTCTATGGTGTTACTTTCTGTGGAGATGCAAAGGAATTATATGGTAAGCTCCAGCAATATCAGCAATCAAGCAGACTAAAGAGATGGGAACACCATGAGCTAGCAGTATACCTAAGGGACATTTGCCTCCTAATTGGTCCAGAGCTTTGTTATAACTTCATGTACATCAAGAGAGAAGGTAACCATGAGGTAGATACATTAGCAAAGCAAGCCAGATGGTCACGCCAAAACTATATCGTCTCATGGATCCAATGATGTGTAATATGACTCTTTAACTTGATGTACAATCTTTTCATCTAATGAAATGTTTGTTTGCCAACAAAACAAAAAAAAAATGTCACATTATGGCTAGATTGCCAATTTTTTTATAAAAAAAGGCAACCCAATAATAGTAATATTTATAATATTGTTAGTCTTTTGTTTTGTGCTGCAAGAATCTTTAGCTAATCTCACAAAGAATCTTCATCGTCGTTATATTAAGAGCGTTTGTGTGGTTTTTACCAAAAAGATTCTGTATGTAATGATGGAGAAGAAAGTTGAGATCTTATCAAGAGAAATAATCAAACCGTCTTCTCCAACTCCAAATCATTTGAGAATTCTCAGTCTTTCTCTTCTTGATATCCTCAGCTCACCAATGTACACAGGGGCACTTCTCTTTTACGCAGCCGATCCTCAGGGTTCTTCATCAGAGGAGACATCCATGAAGCTGAAGAAATCTCTGTCTGAAACTTTACCAATCTTCTACCCTCTTGCCGGAAGAATCATCGGAAGTTCGGTCGAATGTAATGATGAAGGAGCTGTGTTTATAGAAGCTCAAGTGGACCATCTTCTCTCAGAGTTTCTCAAGTGCCCTGCTCCTGAATCATTGGAACCACTCATTCCTGTTGAAGCTAAGACAAGAGAAGACGTTACATGGCCTGTGCTGCTAATCCAAGCCAATTTCTTCAGCTGTGGAGGATTGGTTATCACAATCTGCATTTCTCATAAGATCACTGATGCAACCTCTTTAGCAATGTTCATCAGAGGATGGGCTGAGTCCGCAAGAGGTTTGCGGATTACATCGATTCCAAGTTTCACCGCTTCGGATTTCTTTCCTCTACCTCCTGTTCACGAGCTTCCCTCAAAATCGACGGATCATAAAGTCGAGGTTGAAGAGATTAATTGTGTAACAAAGAGATTTGTGTTTGATGCTTCAAAGATGAAGACNCTCAGAGCCAAAGCTTCAAGCAACCTTGTCAAGAATCCAACCCGTGTTGAAGCCTTCACAGCTCTGTTTTGGAGATGTGCTAGTAATGCTTCAAGATCGAGTTCTCCAACACCAAGAACTTCAGTGCTGCACATACCCGTGAGCTTACGAGGAAAGGTAGATTCTTTGTCTGAGAACACAGCGGGGAATATTCTCTCCATCATGATTCTCAAGAACGAAAAAGCTAATATTGGAGGGATTCAAGATGTGGTTGATGAGTTAAGGCGTGCAAAGGAAATGTTCAGCTTGAACTGCAAGGAAATGTCGAAATCCTCGGTGAGAATTCTTGAGTTTCTGGAGGAGATTGGGAAAGCAGATGGAAGGAGAAATGAGGTGGATTTGTGGATGAGTAATAGCTGGTGTAAGCTCGGCATGTACGAGGCTGATTTCGGATGGGGAAAGCCGGTATGGGTGACCGGAAGAGGCACTTCCAATTTCAAGAACTTGATGTTGTTGATTGATGCCAAAGATGGAGATGGAATTGAAGCTTGGGTCACTCTTACGGAAGAACACATGTCGCTGTTCGAATGTGATGAAGAGCTTCTTGAATCAGCTTCCCTCAATCCCCCTGTTTTGGTCTAGTTCAAGAACAAAACTCATTGCCTACTTCTTCCAAGAGATTTAATTCAAAGTTGTTATACTCCTTAAATAATAACACAAGTCTACTCTATCTTTCTATAGCTTCTTTTTTTGGTAAGATTTCTATAACTTCTCAAATAGTTTTAGGACAAAGATCCATTAAAATCCCTGTCACAACTAAGAATTCATACACTCTGTGATCCTTAATCAAAATGTCATAGTAAACCTAAATCAAATCATAGCTTTCATTAGTAATTAGGAAGATCAGCAATCATAACGATCAAATTAGGAATCACCCAACATCAATCTCTCACTAGATTCAACCAAAACATATACATCTAGAAGCCACTTCATTGCATAAGTATAAAAGAAAATGAAATCCAATAGACAAATTCCAAAGAAAAACAAACTCAAACTCACTGGANGTGACTTATTGAATAGATGTTTCTCAAGATGCAGAGACATTCACACTTGGGCTTGGAGAGACGTAGCGAAGCAACTCCTCATCGGTTTCAAAGCTCGACATATCGTTCTNGTCAAGGTTGATCCAAGCTTCTATGCCATCGCCTTCCTTAGTATCAATGAATGCCACAANATTTTTGTAACTCATTCTTGCAGAGGNAACCCACAAAGGTTTCCCCCATCCGAAATCTGCTTCATACANTGGAAATTTGCAGAGGCTNNTGAAGCTGAAGNACACAATCTTTCCCTCGNCGNAACCTGAAGNTTGTTTGTTTAGAAACTCGAGGTGTCCTCTGCTATCTTCTTGAAGTTTCTTCACGTACACTGCGTCTATCTTTCTTATCTCTTCTCTCATCTGCTCCACNAGTGAAGGCTTGGCTTCATCATCTTCACTGATTATCATATTAGNGACAGTCACTGAGANNCTNATGATGTTCCCAAAGATGTTGTCTGGAATAANCGGATCNGCTTGCCTACGCAAGTTCACCGGANGAATCAATGTNTAGATTCTTCCGNTTTTATCATCTTGGTTTGTTGAAGCCATGAAACGGCTCCAGATGAATACCGATAAGGCCTCAACACGCGTGGTGCGAATCTNNNTGTTTCTGCTGAATCTTTCNCTTAAAGACTCAACAGAGGATTTCAAGAACACGAAGCGTCTGGTGACTATTTTCTCCTTGGTGATACCTGTAGCCATGTTTAAACCGTCCATATCACATGGAGGAAACATCTTGGCGAGATCGAAAGAAGGAGTAATGATTTCATGAGTGTCTCTGCGAGCAAAAGCTGCCCAGCTTCTGATGAAGATGAGACCGGACAAGGCATCACAAAGTTTATGGCAAAGGCCTACACCGAGCGCTAAGCCGCCGCATTCAAAGAAAGTGAGGTGAATCTTGAGAGGCACGTCACTCACTTCGTCAAACTCGAAAGGGAGAAACTTATTGAGTTCATTGGGATTAGGGTTTTCGAGAATCTGTAACATGTTGCAGTTGGCTTTGGCTTCAACGACAGACACACCAACATCATTGCACACAACAACATCACCTGAGTTCTTGATCCGTCCTGCCAAAGGGTAAAAGAGATTCAATATTTCAGACAAAGAACTCTTGATGTGGTCAGTTCGTTCTCTGTTTGATAGATTGGTTTTGTTGTGGTAAAAGAAAAGGAAAGGCATGAAAATGGGAGGAGCAAGCTGATCAAGGAAAGAGAGATGATGGCATGGAAGATGATTAAGGTTTAGAGATGAGGGCTTGACGAGTTCCTGACAAGTCACCGTGATCTCAAGCTCCATTCTTGTTTGAATTAACTCACAATGGGCTCATGATTCGTCATTAGGACTATATACGCAAAAGCTAAGGAGGTAGTCCTCTTTAATAACACGTCATGGTAATTAGATACGGCATATAATTAGACCCAAGTGAGCAAGAAAGTTACAACTTTTATTAGTTCAATTCAATGATTTGGTTTTGGAAACTTGCAAGTTGGATTGTTTTGTCAACATTATGAAACTTGCTGTGGGGTTTTGGTTTTACCCAATTTTATACTAACGTTAGGTGAAGACTATATTAACATTTTTAAATTTTCAGCAAGAGTGAGCTAAGCTGATTCACAGGCTACGTTTTCCCGCAAGAAACTCTCTAAATCGAAGATATATGTACTTAATTCTAACACGTGTGAATACAAACAAAACACGGAATTCTGTTAGTGAATATCTTTGCAAGAAGACTATATCTGATAGTGCCATTCATGAGGGCTGTGAATAACCTCTATACTCGTATGGTCATCGATGATGACATGCTTCAAAACGATGTCTTTATTGTTTTGAATACCAGAGTGAAGGCTTCAAAACGATGTCTTTATTGTTTTGAATACCAGAGTGAAGGCTTCAAAATGATGCCTTCACTCTGGTATTCAATTTCACAAGAGTAGGAGAGGATTCTGTTTTCATGTATCAAGCCGATAACTCTTACTCAAGAGTGACTTCGACACCAGAGGGATCGTTAGAAGTTTTGGTATGGAATCAAACTAGGCTTGAATGGAACACGCTATGGTATGCACCAAGTAGCAAATGCGATTTGTACAATCACTGTGGCGCCAACAGATATTGCGACGAGTACACGCCACCATCGCCCATATGCAAGTGTATCGAGGGATTTGAGCCCCAATCAGGGGAACTAAGAAACGTCACAAAGGGATGCGTGAGAAAGAATACGTTGAGCTGTAGTGGAAATAGGTTTGATCGACTCCCGAATATGAAGTTGGCGGATACAGAGGGTGCCAATCGGTATACTGTTAACGGATTAAAAGATTGTGAAGATAAGTGCACCAATGACTGTTATTGTACAGCCTTCACCATGACTGCTTATCAGAATGGGAGCTTATCGCAAAGCTGTGTGAACTGGAAGGGAGATCTTCTGGACGTTCGCAACTACTCCGGGGACCTCTACGTTAGATTGAACGGTATAGTTCGTCTGTCAAAGTAAATACAGTTTATAATAAGATTAGAGTAAACTATTACTGATACGACGATTACTC